GTCAGCACGGAGGCCGGTCAAGTAAGGGTTCCACGATTTATGCGTTGCGCGGTTGGAAAGCACGCATCCATAGCTCGGCGTGAAGGCTCATGCCTGAAGCTCGGCAGGAAGGACTTTGGTTGACCGGTATGACTAATCTCAAGCTTGGCTTCACCGGAACGCAGTCGAGCATGGAATAAAAACAAGTTTTTCTCAATTCTCAAAGATATTGTGTAACAACCATAAACATCTTGACCCAATACTGGTCACTTCATCTCTTTATCAAGGGGTATCTCACAATATATATAAAACAACATGTATTTCAACCTGTATCATTATTATGGATTATTCCTTTTAATGTTAACAATTCCCATATCATATTCAATCGCATGATATAAACAACACATTCAACGATGTACTCAACAGATGCAATGTTACACTAAACTTCTATGATGAAGCAAGTTTCAAGATACACCTATTTACTAAAACATACTCAACGTTTTACAACTTAAGACATATGTAAGGCTCTTAAGTTCAACAATATTACAAAATCTAAATACAAGATTACAAATCGATAAACATGTCCGGGTATTTTTCGCGGACTTCCAACTCACGTTCCCAAGTGGCTTCCTCCACTCCGTGATGTTTCCACAAAACTTTGACCAAAGGGATGGTTTTGCCTCGCAAAACTTGATCCCGCCTATCCAAGACCCGAACCGGTCTCTCCTCATACGAAACATCCTCATCAACCACTAAATCGGTCCAATCCAACACATGTGATGGATCCGGCTCATATTTCCGAAGCATACTCACATGAAACACGTCATGTACTCCGGACAGTTGTGGCGGCAAAGCTAAACGATAAGCAGCCTCGCCAATCCTCTCAAGGATCTTAAACGGACCAATGAACCGAGGGGACAACTTCCCACTCTTCCCAAACCTCATTAATCCTCGCCTAGGTGATATCTTCAGAAAGACATGATCACCCACCTCAAACACCAACGGTCTCCTCCTACAGTCTGCATAAGATTTCTGACGACTTTGTGCTGTAACAAGCCTCTTACGGATAAGCTCAACTTTCTCCGTCGTTTCCCTTACCAACTCCGGACCCAACAGAGGTGCATCGCCCACCTCGGCCCAACAAACAGGAGACCTACACGGTCGGCCGTATAAGGCCTCAAACGGTGCCATACCGATACTAGACTGGAAGCTGTTGTTGTAGGCAAACTCCACTAATGGCAAGTGCCTCTCCCAAGACCCGCTAAAGTCAAGAACACAACCCCGAAGCATATCTTCAAGGATCTGAATAGTACGCTCGGACTGCCCGTCAGTCTGAGGACAATAAGCTGTGCTAAAGGTCAACTTAGTACCTAAGGCGCTCTGCAAGCTCTGCCATAATCTGGCAGTAAAACGAGGGTCCCTATCGGAGACGATCGTCACTGGAACCCCGTGCAACCTCGCTATGTCCCGAATATACAAGTCGGCAAGATGACCTACTGAATCTCTAACACGCATAGGAATGAAGTGCGCCGACTTAGTCAACCGGTCTACAACCACCCAAATAGCATCACTACCCCGCTGAGTCCTCGGAAGACCCACAACGAAGTCCATAGTGACGTGTTCCCACTTCCACTCGGAAATTACTACTACCTTTAAAGGCATCAATTTGTCATATAGTGAAATGGTAGAACTTACTACAAATTCACGATGCCATTTCTTGATTTTGCGTGTTTGCTCTGTTCATCCAAACACCATTCTCATCACATGGGAAAGAAATGAGACCGGGACATTCTACTTTCTCCCAGTGGATCAAATTGGGAAATAATCTCCTAAGGTCCATCCAATGCATCTGGAAGTCACTCAAGTACTTCAATTGCAACATCACAATTGTGGTAGTTGCTATTTGGTCTAGATGACACAATAGTCCTCCTCTAATGTGGAGTTTCTTCAAGTTCTTCAAATTGCCAGACGACAACCAACTGGGTGCAACCATTTCAGGGAAACACTCAAGCTCTAGTTTTTGCAATGAGGAAGGAAGTTCCGTCTGGATAGGAAGTTCCAAATCATGCTGCTCGGTGAACGATCCTGTTAGTGCTCTTGTTAGATTGGCACGTGGTTGTGGCTGTGGTTGTGGTTGTAAGACAGTGCATTTTTTGTTCCAGTATTTTAGAGAAGATCTGTTATGTTCACAAAACATTCAATTCAAAAAATTTAAAAAAAAACAAAAAAACAAAACACTTACTACTCTATTGCTACATCTGTAAATTTCTCTGCCTACTTACAATTTTTTTTGTGATTTGAGTTCAATTATAGTAACAAACCTGCAATTTTCTCTGCACTACACAAAAAATGCAAAGTGAACAAAAAACAAAGCACAAAAATGCAGAAAAAAACAGAGCACCAAAAAGCAACTCATAACCATGTTGACAGAGAATGAAAAAGCAACTCCAAAAATCAAAATCAACTCCATCGAAAATTCATCAATAACAGATAATGAAAAATTAACTTCAAAATCAAAAACAACAACACTGAGTTCGTCTCTCTCACATTGATCAAAACTAAAAACAAAAACCTAATTCAACACCTACATGATCAAATCAAATCAAAAATTGAAAACTTATCTAATTCAACTCCACATGAAATCAAATCAAACACAATGAACCAGATTTCAACTCCTACACGATCGATCAACACCTACAAACAACGAACATGATTTCAACTCGTACAGGATTTCAACACCTACAAACAACGAACAGGATTTCAACACCTACAAAAACCCTAGAAAATCTCCACAAAAATCTGAATCGTCAAGTTCATCCTCACGTAATCTCCCACAAAATATCAATATGATCTTTAGCTGCCAAATTCAAAACAACGTATATTATAAACAAGGGTAAGACAGGTATTTTACACTCTAAAATAACATTGAGGGACCTTAGGCTACAAAAGAACACATTGTGGACCTAATCTATTACTAAAAGTTGGATAGGGACCTTAAACCGATTTTCCCTTAAAAATATTTAAAATATTAAAATATTAAAAAAATATTTTTTAAATAAAATAAAATATTTGAAATAAAAAAAATAAAAATTATATATATATTTAAAAAAATACAGTGCACGATTGTATGAAATACAGTGCACATTAAAAACATACAACTCAAAACTCTTTTCAAAATTCATAACCAAACAAATTTTTTTCTTTTCAAAACTCAACTCAAAATTCATAACTGAAAATACAACTCTACACTCAAATCATGATTTTAAAAAATAAAATAAAAAAATATGTTTTAAAATTTTTCTTTAAATAAATTTTTGAAAAGAGTTTGGTTGTGAGTTTTGAAAAGAATTTTGAATTAAATTTTGATTTGTATGTTTGGTTACACATTGGAAAAGAATTTTGAATTTTTTTTCATTCGGTAGTGTTATATGTACCAATTAGTATACTAACTAGTATACCAACACTAATTATGATATTATTATTGACCCCCCACTCATTAATAACATTACAAATACTAAAAATATCTTAAATTATGTCACATCATCAATTGGTACATTAATTAATACGTATAATATTATTCTTATTTATTAGAATCACAATTCCAAAAATAAACCACATGCAACCGAAATCAATACAAAAAATGTCATTTTCTTGTATAATTGTTGTACTCTTTACTGTTGTTAAAAAAAAATCAGTGACTGTTAATAACTTTTCTCAAAGTCCACGATTAAGTAATTCTCCCTTATTTTATTGGGTTGTAGTTAGCATTGTTGCTAGTGAGTATGAACATGTGGGAAGCGCCTAATTGTCTATTAGGATCCTCTAGAGTGGGATTCTCTGAAGTGAGTGATCCAACGGTTCAAAATAAAACTAACTAAAACGGCGTCGTTTTGGTTAGTAATTTCAAAAAAAAAAAAAAAAAAAAAAAAAAACAACAACAAATAGAAATCAACTTTCTGGGTTCGCTTTCACTAGTTCGTGGGAGAGTTGGAGAGAGAGAGAGGGACTGGAGCAAGAGAAGGGACAGAGCTTTGATTTTGAGTTGAGACTCTACTTCATTTTAGAAATCTTTTGATTCAAGTGGATAGTGAGTGGTTATTGTTCTTCATCTATACAGTAGTGCTTCACAAATCAGCCCTTGATGATGATGATGAACATTCCTTGTTCAAGTCAGCCATGGAAGACCTTCTGTCACCGATTTCCTCCGCTGATCCCCATGTCCTTTGATCGGATCTGCTGATTTTGTTGCTCACTTTGATTTTGATGATGATGATGATACAGATCTGAATCAATCTTTGGTGCTCGCACTATGGGATCTGTAAATATACATATATGCATATAGAAACACATATCTAAATCAATCTTTTGATGATGATGATAAAGATCTGAATCAATTTTATTATCGAATCGATTTAATCTTCTTCGCAGGGTCTGTAAATATATATATATAGATATATATACATATAGAAATACATATCTAGATCAATCTTTTGATGATGATGATGATGATGATGATACAAATCTGAATCAATCTTATTATCGATGAATCGATTTAATCTTTTGAAGCCTCTTTCTTATTTTTTTCACGGGTTTTCTTCAGTCTTTTGATGATGATGATGATACATATCTGAATCAATTTTATTATTGAATCAATTTAATCTTATTTTTTATTTATTTAGATTTCACAAATCAAAATCCATGATAATGATACAGTTTGAAACCTCTTTCTCATTCCATTCACATTTTTTCTTCAATCTTTTGATGATGATGATACAGATCTGAAACAATCTTGTTATTGAATTGATTTAATTTTCTTTTTTATTTATTTAGATCTCATAGATTAAAATCCATGATGATGATACAATTTAAAGCATATTTCTCATTTCGTTCATATTTTTTCTTTTTTCTTCATTATTCTTATTTTTTTATAATTTTCTCCCATCAAAACGACAAGAATTAATCTCAACCTTTCATTCTATTAGTGGGACACGTACCAGATCCATCTCATTCACTCTAGGGATCACTCTGGAGGAACCTAACCCTAACGCCCCTAACCCTAACGCCCTAAATTGTTATTGTTCTGTATCCTCCCAACCCAACAACGGCTACATTCACCACCGCCCCCGCCCCACGCCCACGCCCACGCCCACGCCCAACGGTACATTTCCTCTTACATCTTTGTATTCTCCTCTCTCCTCATTACGATTTCCTATCGCTCTCTGAAAAGTTTTGATTAGGGTTTCTCTCTCTCTAGAATCGACAGCGGGAGTGAAGGCTTCATCAGATGAACTGCTAAGGAAATTTGCGGAAGTGGGTTCGGGATCCAAAGACAAGGCCACCGCGAGGAAAGAGCTTTCGCAGTTGGCAAAACGACGCCGCTACCACCGGGAAAAAATCACCGGAGAAAATGACGATGATGATGAGCGGTACTGTGAGAGCCCCTCCACCTCCTCCTTAAGCCGCCGGGCCAGTTTGGTTGAGAGGAAATCGCTTCTTCCTGCTGTGGCGGCATCCACCCCACCCAGATGTCGTCTGCGCTGATTCAGCGGCTGGGGATTGGGATTGGGAGGTCACGGCTTAGGTCGAGGGATTTCAAGAACATGTCCATTTTCGCCACAATTGACAAGGTTAGTAATTTTACATACATCATACGTGCTATATATTTACATATATACATATTAATTGTGCCAAATTTAGTTGTTTGAATTCTCAACTTATATCTGTAGAATTTGATTCTCTCTGTGTTATATATTCATTTTTGTGTTCAATTTGGCTTCTAAATTAGACTATTCCAAGGATGAGAATGTTGGAGATGGGTTAGTCAGAGGAATGCGAATTCTTAAGTTTTAGCCTTGGAAATTGAATACACGTCCCGAGAGTGCCCTAATTTTCCCTTCCTCCCTTTTCATGCTCAATGATTTTCCTATCTCCTCTAACTTTGCCGAGTCAGAGAATTGGGCATCATTTTTTCCGAACTCTTCGGTCGCACTGTCCTGCCCCTGTTCTTGCTCTGTTTTGTCTCTGATGCACTCTTCATCTGCACCTGAAAAAGTTCAACAGAAGAAGATATATATTCCAAGGATGCATAAAAAAAATCATCTACTTTGAATACTACCAAATTTTTTATTCTTCTGATAAAAATAATATTAACTTCCATCTAAAGAAGATTGATTCTGATGCCATTGTTATTGTTGTTTTGCAAGGTATTAGTATAACTTACTTTCATTAGGCAATTACATCAAATTTGAAACTTATTGCCTAAATAGATGCATGTATGTATGTGTGACAACATAATGTGATTGATCAAAATAATAATAAAAAATAAAAATAAATAAAAAAAACCCAAAAATTAATTAATTTGAAGTTCATTTTATTTTAATATTTGAAACACGGGAAATGGGCTATACTGCAGGAAATGGGCTATACGCGGGAAATGGACTATTTAATCTTGGATTAGAAAACTTAGGCTGTCATTGATTTACTAGTACTGGAGGGCCAGCATCAATCATTATATTCTCCTATGTGTTGGAGGGCTAACAAGAATTTGAATCAAATGGAAATTGATTGGATGGGATTTTGGTGTGCTGAGAAGTTGATGTACAAATGCCTAGGACTAGCTCTAACATCAAAATCACAATTGAAGAAATAATACTTATTGGGAGCAAATATTAATCATTTTATTCCTCATTTGCGTCTGCTTAGCAAAATCATAGAAGAAATAATAATACATATTGGGAGCAACTAGAATGGAAAGAACCCTCCTTGTGTGACTGCTTAGCAAATTGGGAGCAACTGTGAGTATCTTCCTTCTTATTGGTAATGCTTTTCTTGATATTGTTATGAACTGAAAAGTTTATTTAACCTCTAAAATGATGACATCTGTTTGGGTAGTTTGTCATAAGAGACAACAAATCAAGTTTGGGGAACCTGGAGCGGATGCTTGCCGGAATTGATTGGAACTTTAATAGCTATGGAGGTTAGGCTGTAGAATATGTATTTATAATTTCTACTATGTTAAATTATTTAATATTCCCTTAGAACTTTCTGAAAGTGCCACAGTTGGGTCTTTGGCAAGAACTAATGAATCGTATAACTTGTAACTACTCTTTTTTAGCAATCCATTTATTCAGCAATTTATCGAGTGTATGCAAACATGATTTAACCATTGCTTCCTTGCTGGAATATTGATAACTGATGCATATTTGTAAATAATGATGCTTTTGAACAATAATCAATTGTAAGATTCCAAAGCTTTTTCTTGTCCATTAGTTGGGTTACCCTTGCGCTGGAACCACAAAATACTGCTAATCATTGTCCTGATTAAGTGTTGCTTGATACTTGATATCATCGCCTATACTTTGGTGCAGTTACTAACAAATAGCATCAGTTTCCATCTATTATTGCTGTATAGTTTTTTGCTTTGAGAAAAGTAAAATTCTATTCTATTGATCTATCTAAATAAAAGTAATTGCACTTTGAGGGAAAAGACCGGGGTCGCTATAAAAGTGCAAGTCAATAGGGCATTTTTTATGTTAAACTCTTTTGTATCATTAATTTCATGTAATGAATGGACTATTTACTCTGACGTATGCAATTATTAATGTATGATTTGGGTTGTATCTATTGTGTATTTTGGGGGCGTGACATTTTTTATCAAATAGGGTTTACTATAACTGTGTATTTTTCTTTGCGTGTATCAAATCTCTTTGAAAATAAGTGTTCTTAAAATTTTGGATTTATAATTTTTTAAAAGTTTGTTTATTTGTTTTCTTAATTTTTTTGTTGTGTGTGTGTGTTTTTTTTTTAAGAAAGAATTTAGTGTTCTTAAAAAAAAAAAAAAAATCTTCTTTGGTTTCATTATTTTTTTAATGTTAATAGATTTCACTACTATTATTATTATTATTATTATTATTATTATTGTTATTATTATTATTGCGTATATAAAATCTCTTTGATTATAATATTCTAAGAGTCTTGGCTTTCTATTTTTCTATTTTGTGTGCTTTATAGTACAGTTTTGGCAAATATGTTTTACTATAACTGTTTATTTTTCTTTGTGTATATCAAATCTCTTTGACAATAAGTGTTCTAAGAATTTTGAATTTATAGTTTTTAAAAAATTTGTTTATTTGTTTTCTTAATATTTTTTGTTGTGTGTTTTTTTTAAGAAAGAATTTAGTGTTCTTAAAATAAAAAAAAATTCGTCTTTGGTTTTATTATTTTTTTAATGTTAATAGATTTCACTATTATTATTATTATTATTATTATTATTATTATTATTATTATTATTGCGTATATCAAATCTCTTTTATTATAATATTCTAAGAGTCTTGGCTTTGTATTTTTCTATTTTGTGTGTTTTGTTGTGCAGTTTTAATTCACTTTCACTATTTTCACTTATCTCTATTCACAGTACAATATCACTTTTCTATTTAAGAACATTGCAATCTTATCCTATACTGTAAATGTAACATTTATTAATTATACTTTTAATTTTCTTCATTGAAAAGTTCCATTGGGTTATCAAGTTCTTTGGGAAGGAAGAAAAAAATAAGAAGAAGTAGAATATAAGAAATAATTCTATATTTCTTAAAATTTATTTATTTTTTTAAAATTAGTTTTTTTCTTGGTCTGTTTTTTGTTTTTTTTTTTAATTTTTTTATAAAATTTTCTATATTAAAATCTCTTTGACAATATAAGAGTATTAGGTTTGTAATTTGTTAAAAATTTGTTTGTTTGTTTTCTTTTGTGTATCAATTCTTTTTTAAAAGCCAACCCTTAATTTGGTGTTTTTTCAAATTTTATGCCACGTGGAATTTAGATAAAAGAAAATAATAATAAAAGAAGTTAAGCACCCATGTTCCTTCTACTAAACACGTTCTCCAATCCAATAGTTCCATACCATTCTAGACTTATTCTCTATCATAAACAGTTACTCTCATTATTTACTTATTTATTTTGATTTCTTTCTCTTTTTAAAACGTGGTGCAGTTCCCATCTAAACAAATAATTATTATTATTGTGCAGTTTCAATTCATCTTCACCATCTTCACTTTTCTTTATTCTGTGTAAAATAGCACACTTCTATATTCAAGAACATTGCAATCTTATGATTATTCAACAACATTGCAATCTTATCCTACACTGTAAGTGTAATATTTGTTAATTATTGTTTTTATTTTTATTTTTATTTTTTTCTTTAAAATGTTTCACCATGTTATAAAGTACTTTGGGAAGAAGAAGAAAAAAAAAATAGTCTAAGAAATAATTCAGTATTTCTTAAATTTTATTTATTTATTTAAAAATCATTTTTTTGTTTTTTATTTTTTTATATTTTTATATTAAAAATCTCTTTGACAGTATAAGAGTCTTAGGTTTGTAATTTGTTAAAAATGTATTTGCTTGTTTTCTTATTTTTTTTTATCAAATATGTTTTACTATAACTTTTTATTTTTCTCTGTGTATATCAAACCTCTTTGAAAATAAGTGTTCCAAGAATTTTGGAATTATAGTTTTTTTAAAATTTGTTTATTTGTTTTCTTAATATTTTTTGCTCTGCGTTTTTTTTTAAGAAAGAATTTAGTGTTCTTAAAAAAAAATAATTCTTCTTTGGTTTTATTATTTTTTTAATGTTAATAGATTTCACTATTATTATTATTATTATTATTGTGTATATAAAATCTCTTTGATTATAATATTCTAAGAGTCTTGGCTTTGTATTTTTCTATTTTGTGTGCTTTATTGTGCAGTTTTATCAAATATGTTTTACTATAGCTGTTTATTTGTAACGCCTCAAAAAATTGGGCAGGGTATATCTATTTATACAACAAACCCACCTGATAGCCAAACATATATATATATATATATATAGCTAACTATTCCATACATTCATTTTCATTTAATCCCAAATGCGAAATACATACTGTTTACATCTCAATGCCCTAGTTCCAATCCCAAGCATGCATTTTACAACAAGTATGAAATGGAAGCCAAATAGTTAATAAGTGCCCTACAGGCTTACAAATTTATCCAAGAACATTCTTAATTACACAAAATAGAATTTCAACTCTACACAAATACAGCCCTGGGCTTACATTTAATAAATAACCATAAAACAAAAATGGAGCCTCAGCTCCGAGTCCTCCCAAGTCAGTGCCTTGGCAAAGGCATATCACCTATATCTGAAATGGTTTCCCTTATAGGGTGAGTCACAGCCCAGGAAAGATATACTACACAACATATGGACCATGACAAGACTAAAGAGGGGTATGCTCATGCCATGCTCACGATAAAACAATTTATCTCTCTTTTTATAAAGCATGCAATGTTGAAATGCAACAACAGATATAAAACTATTTTCATTTTAAACCATATCTGTTACATGAATACAAGCTCTGTGAATCTCTAGGTGAGTGTCTGCAAGGCTCTAATGCACTACCACTGTCATTTTTACCAGCAAACTGGAAGGCTTGACACCTAACCGTGCGGTTCTACACCCCCTACCCAGATTCACCAAGTATTCATTTTTTCGCAAACAGAAACATTTTCAAACATTTCTCAAAAATAGATACATTTCCAATGAAATGAATGTAATGCAACGTCCAATGCAACGAATATGGAATGTGGTTCAATTTACCTTAAGTCTCATGCATTTCTACAACAATCATGGCTATCCTCTACCGATAGCCCAAAACAAACATTTCTAAACAGATATTTAAACAATTAAATTCTAAAAATTTCGATAAAAATACAATCTATTCCACATCTCATCAAATATGAACAACTACACTAGTTTTCATATCACAATCATGTCCAGTAACCTCTCAAGGTCCATTTCTAACCGTGTCGATTTTATTCCAACAGATACATTAAGCAAAATAATACCGTTAATGCCCAGGAAAACATCATTTTCTTTCTAAACTCATTCTCCAAGCATTATTCAACTATGACATCCTATTTTGATCAAAAGCCTCAAAAGTTAAACATAATTCATTCGTTTTCTTTAAAAATGCTCTTTTGGTCGCAAACCGGTAAAAATTTCAAAACCAATCGAGTCGAAGTCCATTTTTGTTCAAATTTAAAACATAGCTCTTTCATAACCTTACAAACATATTCCAAGTTTACACTTTTGCAATTTGGGCATCAACTCTTTATTTTTCTCAAAATTTTTCTTTTAAGCAAATAAATCACAAATTTTCTAAAAAATCTAATTAAATCATATACAACTCTAAGTTCCATATAATCAAGTAAAAGTACATAAATAAGTGTAGGAAAAATCCCTATCTCAAGCCAAGAAGCTTTCAAATTTTTTGGCAACAGAAATTAAATCTGCTCGGAGCCAAACGACACATTTTCCGCCTTCTACGTTTTGATCCGAAGCATTAGGGGTAAAAAATGGCTTACACTAGATCAAACCCATGAAAAATCAACATTGGAACCCTTTTTTTCTTTGGCATTCTCCCAAAAGTGGAACAAAAAATCCTTTTTGGTTACTATTTATAGATATATACACCTAAACAAATATCTAACCACAAATATCTAACTATATATATACACACATATATATATATATATATAAATTAAAAATACATTTCAACATCTTTAATGACAAAAGTAAATATAATATTTTCTCACTACAAAATATATTTCGTTTAATAGTACACACCATAAATATTCACAACTCTTTTACGGTAATCAAATAATAATAATAAAACCACAACACTATTACATGGTTACTAACGGGTCACAATTCAATCAATTGGGTTCAAAATGAATGAAGTTTAATAATTTAAAATAAATCCCCAATTGAGATTAAAGTATAAATTCAATTTGATTCAACTCGTTACATTATTTTTCTTTGTGTCTATCAAATCTCTTTGAAAATAAGTATTCTAAGAATTTTGGATTTATAGTTTTTAAAAATTTGTTTTTTTCTTTTCTTAATAGTTTTTGTTGTGTTTTTTTTAAGAAAGAATTTAGTGTTCTTAAAAAAAAAAGTTTCTTCTTTGGTTTTATTATTTTTTTAATGTTGACAGATTTCACTATTATTGTTATTATTGTTATTATTATTATTATTATTATTATTATTATTATTATTATTAGTGCGTATATCAAATCTCTTTGATTACAATATTCAAAGAGTCTTGGCTTTGTGTGTGATGATCAGGCACGTAATCGTCTAGTTCTTTATTGGTTATTGTTGGGTTTACTCTTGTTAGAGTGTCGGATTTTAATGTGAGGCCTTGTCAACTACTGGGTTCGTTGCTTTTGAAAACTTTTTCTCAAGATTTTCGTTCTTATTTATTTCAATCCTGAGTTTCACTAGTTTCGGTAAGTGCAAGGTTGGATTCGGGGTGTCACGGGTCGAGCTAGGAAATTTTATGACTGGGAAGTAGTGCCATACGTGCGGGGGCTTAGGCTGTACGTGCGGAAGAGGGACCGCACATGCAGGAAGAGAGGC